TTATTGATAATTTTTGGGAAATTTGCACGAAGTGCACGAGTGCCTTTTTCAGTTAAAAACGCATGAGTGCAAATTTGTCGAAAATTATAAATATACGAAGAGCGAATCTTGATCTTGACGCCATCTAGGACCAATAATCAACACTACACGCAATTTTGCTGTGCTAAATGGTGAACGTCCAAAGGCCGACCAAAATTCAGTTCGTTTGGGTTTAACCCAAAAGTACCACTGTTTGAGAAAAGTTTTTTGGATTGATTTTCTCCGCTTTTCCATCCATAGACGCGTTTCGACCTATTTCAGGTCTCATCAGTATGGCTAGGAAAAGCAAAGAAAACCAATCCAATTTTTCGCCTAAAGGCAAATGCAAGAATTACGAAGAGCGAATCTTGATCTTGACGATTATAAATATATTTCCATTGCACGAGTTGTATTTAATGAGAGAATTTCATAAATCAAAAATTTAAATTTTTTGTCAAAAAATATCAAAACACCAGTTTTCGCACCAGTTACTATGCAATTATCTAGTGCACTAGTGCAAATTATCGCGTAATTACAATCGTGGTTCAAATCAACAATCAAAACATGTCAATTTATTGTTGGAATACCAGTTTTGACAGATGTATGAAATTCTCGAATGTAATACCACAAGAGGTTTCAGGATTACCGGATAATACTTTTACCTGTCACGAAACGCGTTACGCAGCAACACCACGACTCCGAAGGAGGAGTGGTGTTGCTGGTAACGCGTTGAGTGTCAGGTAAAAGTATTAGGTAATCCTGAAACATCGAGTGGTATTCAAATGGTTATACAACGAACTAAACTTTAATACTTAAAAATTTAATTTTTTTTTCTATAATAGCATTTGCCATAAATGCCACCAAGCGCGATAATCCCAAAAGGCTTATCACTTGTTAAGCCTCTCATGTCATATGGGAATAATGTACAGTGAGTTGTATAATCAATATAATTCTAAATTGTGTCTTATTTCATTTCAAACTTAATAATCTAGAAAACAAAATGGAGAGTGAAAACCATTTCATACAACAGAAATATCAAAAGAAAACGCAACGTCAGTACCTAACACAAAAAAATTGAAAAATCAAACATAAACAAGACGAGCTATAATAGTTAAACAAAATTGGTTTAAGTGTATGACCATAGATGGATCTAGTTCTAATACACGCACAATTGCGTCCTAAAAGCTTATTTCAGAAAGATAATTTATGTTATAAATTTTTGAATAACATCTCTGTTTGATGAATGGTTAATTTTTGTTTTTTTTTTATCTTTCGTTTGAAGTGTGTAAAGTTTGTTGTTTTTGCTTTTTTTAAATTTTAAATTGTTATTGTTGTGCTACGTAATTGTGTGTTTTTTTTTTATTAACTATGTTTTCGAGAATCCTCCATACCTATGAGAATCTGTTGAACAACAATGACAAGGAAAGTCTAATTTAAATGTAAGTAATCAAGTCAATTTCTCTACCTTTTGTTACCTAACTATTAAGTATTTTTTCTATGTTTTATGATGCTACTTTCCCCACTTACAATATATATATATATATATATATATATATATATATATATATATATATATATATATATATATATATATATATATATATATATATATATATATAAAGGAAAAGTTAATAGATGAGATTCCCCAAAATGCTAGAGGTAGCTCATCTCATCTATTAACTTTTCCTTTGTTGTTACCAGTACCCCGTTACTGTCCTCCTCTCTATATATATATATATATATAAAAAAATATTTGGTTTGATTTTCTATTGTTGTACTATATATATATATATATATATATATATATATATATTTAGAATGTGTATCGTTGCCTTATAGTTAAATTCAAAAATTTTACTATAGCGGGTTATTTTGGCAAATGTAGTTGGGCTAAAAAGAATGAAGTATTTTTTTTTGTTTCGACAAGCTTTCGAATTACTTTAATTCCTCTTCAGGTCAAACAAGGTGAGATTGATAAATAAGTCCTTATATCATATGCGGAATCGGAAAAAAAAATATACATATATATATATATATATATATATATATATATATATATATATATATATATATATATATATATATATATAGCGAAGAGAAGGGTAGTCTCGACTGACTTAGTTAAGAAATAATATTAGGAATATTGGGGACTGCAGTCTTGTGAAACAAAAAGGCCTAGAGTCTGTTGAACCCTTTATTGTATTGCCAAGCTTTCGAGTAACGTTGCACTCTTCATCAGGACTCACTACAATAAGATTGAGAAGAAAAAATAATACATGTATTCTCTCTTATATAAAAAATAAACTCACCAAAGTGGATTTACATCAGAAAACTAACTTCCAGCTGCATAATACAGTCAGGAAAAAATCCTACCGCTACTAACTTAACCTATCGTAACCTCCACTAAGTACATCCAGCTTTAAACCTGACTTTTCTTTTTCCCATCTCCAAGAGAGAGTGGAAAATTGGAGACTCGTAATGGCGTCGTACGTTGAACCCACAAAGTAATTTGTGGTAATATTATATGTATAATTTATTTGAAGGTTTCATGTAAATCTGCTATTTTCTTTCTGTTTTTATGAAATATTTATTCAAGTAATGTAGTGCGAAATCGCAGAGGATAGCTTTATTTTTGTTTGTCTTTTTTATTTTTGTAGTTCATCATCTAAGTTTGTAAAGAACCCTTTTATTTTTTTATCATTACAGTGTCCTGAAGATACAAATAAATTTTGCGAAACGTCGACTTTTTTAAAAACCAGACTTCTGCGTTTTTTTTTTCCGATCCTACCCAAACAATTGAAAATACTACATTGAGAACCTACTCGGATCGACAAAACCACATTATTGTCTTATCATAATGTCCCCATTTGTTCTTACAACTCATCCGGATGAGTGCTTCCATGTTCCAAATTATAAAGTTATTTCTCTGCAATGCAGAACAGATTCACTTCACGGTGGCACTTTGATTATGTTGAGCGAATCTTGTGTGGCTTTGATTTTGTAATGCTAACCGAGTTTGACCATCTCCTAAAAAATGAAACATTTGAATTATCAGTTTCCTTGTGTGAAAAAATTAACCTTTTTGTGCTGTGTTTGTATCGTTCTCCCTCGTCAGACTTTAAGGAATTTTTGGGTAGGCTTGATTCGGTTCTTTCTAATATCTCTTCACAAGCCAGAGTTATACTGGCTGGTGACTTTAATGCGATAAGACACATTAACACCACCATGCTCCTTAATTTACTTACAGTGTATGGATTGTCAATGCACATGGAGGCACCCACAAGAATTACTGACACAAGTGCCACAACTATCGATTATTTGTGTTTTAATTTCAACGAAGTAAGTTGCTCTATCCTTTCTTCTGGCTTGTCTGATCATGAGGCAATTGGTTCCATCTTCTCCCTGACAGCTTCCACCCAAAAAAAGCTCAGACAACAGAAAAGAATCTACAGTAACCAAAATTTCAATGTTTTTAACTATAGCTGCAATCATGTTAACTGGGCTGGTGTTAGCAATGCTCCAGATGCGCTTGATGGTTTTCATCGTGTTGTTTTGTTGATAATTTTAAGAGGACATTTCCTTTACGTTGGGTTAAGGCCAAACGCACTAACGCAAAACTCTGGCTCTCGAATGGACTTGGAATGTGGGTTATGTCTATTTGAAGAAATTCTCTAAAGACGAATGGTTCCTAACTTATTGCATTAATTACCAAAATATCCATAAGGATTTAACTAAGAAAGCGAAGGAAACTTAGGCTATACAAAGCAAAAAACAAACAAAGAGAAAGTTGGAGGATCATAAATGATATATGCCAGCGACATGTCAATCTCCGGTTCCTTTTAGTTTTTTCCTGTTGAACGCGAAGAGGTAGTTGATGCCATTAAAGATAATAGCAAACAAAAAGTCTAGTGGTGAGGATGAAATTTCAGGTGAGGTATTATTAAAATTACCTGACAATGCGCGTTTGCTGCTCTTTGTTGTGCCATAGATGACTCTTTTAACAGGGATTCTTTCCCCAGTTGTTTGAAATCTTCACTGGTCATTCCAATCCATAAGGAAGGTGACACAAATATATAGGTACTTCTGGTTTAAGGATCGCACGAACGAATTTTTGACGTCATTGATTTGTTTCAGTCAATTTCTATTTGTTAAAAAAGGAGGCAAAAAGTATGAACCCTTCGTGAAACAAAGTTTACTAGAACTACCTGGGAAATATTGGGAATAATTTAGAAATAAATATCCAAAGGAATAATAAAGAATACTGGGAATACTTGAAAATTCACCAAAGTATTCCCAAATATATGGGAATCCCTGGACGCTTTTTCCTTGGGTGGTTGACCCCTCACTAATTACTTCACTATTAACTCAAACAACTTAACTAAAACGGGATTCAAGACATCTGCTCACGTGTTCAAGGCATCGATATCTTAAAGACGTTGTATAGTACCTATATGTTACAAAGCCCAACGTCTTACAAACGTCGGCCTAAAAACGTCGTCAAGACATTCATCTAAAGACGTTTTCAAATGGTTTTCAACGAGATGTTAAAGACGTCTTTGAATCTCTTTTTCAATACATAGGTAAACCATTATTCACCTCAATTTACGACATCTTTTGGACGTCTTCTAGACGTCTTTTTTTGGTCTTCAGACTCTTCAGTCGCATTGCATGCCCAAAAAAAGACGTCTGTAAGACTTTGTGTGCTGTCTGGGTATAGTAAGACAGAGTTGTGATTTAGTTGTGTGACTAGTTAAACTTGATTGTGGACATTGTGGTTAAACAAATGAGTTTCATCGTGATTTTGAATGTCGTATTAGCTAATTTTGCAAGAAACTATTCTGTATTCTGTGCTAAAGTATAGATTTCCAAAAAAATCCAATTTTCCTGGAACGTCTTTCTCATTTAACTCTCAATAGATGTCGGTTTCGTATTCCTGACACCCTGACCGATTAGTAAATTCTTGAGTCTTGTTTACAAACGTTTTACAAATTAACATTACATAACCTTACATGTTTCCTGAAATTAGTGAAATTACATATTTTTTAAATAATTTATAAAGATTATAAAAAGTTGCAGATTAGGCTATTCTATAATTTCAATTTAGTAATCAACCACAAATGTGACTGCCTATCTACAACTGTTCAGCAAAGTTTTTTTAAACAAGAAAAGGTATGATGATGAAAAATCCAAAGCCCATTTTAAGTTTGCAACAGGTAAGACTTCTTTGTATTTGTATTATAAAATAGGCACTAAATAGAAATGAATCCTGTAAGCGAAGCAAAAGTCTAAATATAGTATTTTTTTTAGTTTATTCTTAAGCAGGAAGTCAAGAATCTATACCGCCAAATATTTCGTACTATAAAAGAAGTACCTGATAAAAATTACCAAGAAGAATTGAAGCAGTGGGCAAGAACAGACTTTAGGGCAAATTCAAATCATACAGATGAAACAGTTATTAAAATGTATATACAATATGGAAAACGATGTTTGAGAGAATTGGAAAATAATGTTGGCCTAGCAAAAGCAAAATAATACTTGTTTGTATTTATACAGTTTCTACCTAATTATGGATTAAATTAATTGAAAACAAGTATAGGAGTGGACAACACTAATAGAGAATCTGGATGATGGATAAACAAATATTTTTAGAGAAGAATAAAATAAAAGATTTTCTAGTCATATTTATACAGGGTGACTCTTAAGTGAATTTTAATCTCCAAATTTTTGAGGAGTATCTGCCTCTTCCTTAAATGTTATTGAGGCGGTAATTTGAATTCTGTCATTTACTAGATTGATATTATGTAAATAAGATTAAAGAAAACTCAATAATAATTTGACTGTGTATTTATTAAGATGCTATATGCATTTATATAAAATACAAAAATATGAAAGCAGTAAATCCATTATTAGGCTGGTGTTGCTTGAGAACTTAACTATGTGACACACTTTATGTTAAACTAGTAGAATCTTGCAGTTTTCTATAATAACAAGAACAATGAATACACAAGATATACTATCAAAATAATAGTACTTATCCACGTAATAACATTAACAGTTTGTACAATTTTTTTCTTATCAACTATATTTGTAAATATAATTAGCGCTAATGTTTGTAAAATATATTCACCATCCATAAAAGCAAATGGTAAAATATTTACAAATGCTAAACCTAAAGATATAACGACAATATATTTGACTAGTTTTGTGACTTTTTCAGGAAAACTTACAGAAAATAAATTGGTTTTCTTTACATAAGATGAAATGTCCATGGTTTGAAATAAATCATTTGGATTGCCTAGATAAATTATATTTTTTGTATTAGTTATAATTTTAAACAAATACGTATCATTGGGTAATACTGGTTGGAAACAATAAGAGTCGCTTGGACAAGAGTGTGGACTCTTGGTGCAAAAATTTGCAGACTGCTCCATAACAGTACGGCCAGGCAAACATACATGACCAGGCAATTCTAATTCATTAGTTTCATTATCAATATATTCAAAACATATATTTTTACTGTTTTTTGGATCACAACATTCCACATACCCACTACCCAGATGTTTTAGTGGAACACTTTCATCTAATGTATTAACCAAATCAGATTTGATACACACAGCAGGCCTTAAAACATATCTATCATGCAGACAATGATACCAATAATTTTCGTTTAAAATGTCACAATTATTTATTGCAATAATTATATCATCTACAGATAAACCTTTAGTTGGGTCATTCAAAGGTGAATTTTTGTTTACTCCTGAAACACTTACACTATCCCCATAATTATAAAGAGGTGAAAATATTGTTGGTAGAGAACAATATAAAAGATAGGCAATGAAGGATAAGACAATATTATGCCAGACTCCTGCGCTAACTATCCCTAAACGTTTTTTGTGATTAATAGCATAAAGTTTATCTGTAGGGAGACTAACAAAAGCTACAGGTAAAATAAAATACACATTACAGCCCAATTCCAGAGTCCCTACATCTTCTATAACTGCAGCCAATGCGTGTCCTAATTCATGAACTATACTACAAATCAATAAAGCAATAGAATAATATCCTAGCTCTGATACAGGGAGATTTAATCCTGGTACTACAGGACTAATGAGGGGTTCTGATACTTGTGAGGTACTATTGAAGAATAACCAGTATATACTTATAAATATAATATAAATAGAAATAGGCAGAAATGCGAGGCTAGTAAATGTACCGATACTAAACCATACTTTCCAAAACTGTGGCCTTGCGTTGCCCCATTTTATTATTAGACGGTTTAAAGCTTTAGTTTTCCATTTAATTGTGAAATAGCTTATATTTATTCCAAGATTTTCCAGCAGTTGTAAGTACGGGTAATGGCAGCATGACTAAAACAGAAAGGGCTCATTTCGAAAGCAACAGTTTATACTTTATGTACCTTGAAAAATACATCGAAAAAGAGCAGGACGCAGTAACCACCTGCGATCAGAAAGAAAAAAGTAAGGCCATCCATTGACAGGGAATCTATTTTGCTTCATACATGTTATCAAGATTATTTTAAAATAATCAGTCAAAAGAAAAGAAAAAAATGTAAAATTAGAAAACTTGGAAAAAATTTAAAAATACAAGCCCAAGCCCTAACAAAATTTGAGGTTAGATTAGATTGTTTGTTTGGCTGATAGCGTTTTCGGTTGGTAGAAGTAGTGCAAAGAAAAAGTATTTCTACTGTTTCTTCAACACCAACAGGCTGATCAATTTGCATTAGTTCTTTTCACGTGGCTCCGGTTTAACTAACCGGGTTACAAAACGGTTAGAGAAATGACATACCGTGTTCTAACCCGGTTACAAAAGTGACGCGTGGATACCTACCACTCCAATTTGAGTGGTATGTTACGGTTTGTTAAACCGGAGCAGTAGCGTCATGGGCGCCCGCAGAAAAATATGTAGGGGGGGGATCTAAAGTATCTAAAAACTCACCAATTTAGAGATACTTTAGGTTTACAGGGGGACAATTTGAAAAGTAGCTATCGGAAATATCTCTTAGACAAAAAATACTATCAGGAAGATCCCAAATACGTATCGGGGGATTGGAGGGGGAATCAGACTGAGGCACTTTTTGAGTCACCCTGCCTAATCCTACGATTTAGATTATGCTATAAGACTGTAAAGGAAAAGCACAGTGGCGTAGCCAGTAGGGGGACAGGGGGGGCGACGGCCCCCCTCGCCCCTACACGTGTGGCGCCCCTACCGCTCTTAAAAAACAAAAGCAAAAAATAAGAAATAAAATGTTGCTGTTTCTTATTTATTTTATCGACCTCATCTTCACCTTTTATTCTTTATCGTAAGTCAGCATTGTCGGCAAATGGTTCAGTTCAATCAAAGGAAAAGTGATAGTTTCTGTTTTGATGATTGATGTAATATTTGTTTATTAAAAGGCGGTTACACACGGACGTGGATGTCTTGATACATATACGTGCATACATCATTGTGCAAACAACAACATGCATGTCGCGTTTGTACAGACGCTCGCACAAAACTGCAGTCTTGCTATTGGGCGGTTACACACGGACGTGGATGTCTTACTACATATACGTGCATACATCAACGTGCAAACAACAACGTGCATGGCGCTTTTGTACAGACGCTCGCACAAAACTGCAGTCTTGCTATTCTTGCTACAGTGTTCCGAGTGTGCATACAAAATTGCACATTCAAAAACGCGACGGTATTTTGCATACACATTGATGTTTTTGTTTGCACGTTCATGTATGTGCGTACATGTTTTCAAACATCCACGCCCGTGTGTAACCGCCTAAACTATGGGTTGCTGGGTTGGGTGGGGCTGTCATCCGTCCAGATTTCCCCGGATTTGTTCTAGTTTTCAAGGCGTCCGGAAGGATTTTTTGAAGTTACCGGCATGTCCACACATTATACCTTGTAAGGCTTAAAATACATAAATGCTTTTCGGCCTGGCACCGTGGCACCCGAAAAAAAAAATGTTTTTGAAGGCTTAATGGCCGTTTCCACCAACGGAAATTTAAGTTTACTTAACGTTAAGTGCCGCTTATATTATAATTTTGTTTCCACCAGTCTAACCTAGTCTCATTAAGACAAGCTTAACTAAGCCCAGAAATGTCTAGGCTTATTCCTCCCTTAACAAAGCGGCGATGATCTGCGCAAGTCATTTGCATCATATGTTTTTGTTGACATAACAAACGTTGAAATTGAATTGAGATAAAATTAGAATGTTCTCAATTTTCTAATTTCTGATGTAGTTCGCGTTTTTTTTTTTCTCCCAAAACCTATTTTTTTCAGCCAGAGATACTCTGTGTTATTTTTTTTGATGTTAACGATAATAGAGACTTTTTGCACCCCTTAAAATAACAGCAGTTTTTGGATCAGTTATGGTTACCTTTATGGGCGATAACGATTACCACCACCTCGACCACGACCTTCAAAATCAGAGATTTTGCATCGCCTAACGTTTACATATTTCCGTTATTTCTATTTAGCCTCTGGGCCATGAACTGCGCCTGCGCCTTCAGTTGTAAACCAATTTCATAACATCAAAATGATAACCACACTTATTTTTTCAGAATTTCAGATGATTTTAATTAATTATTTATAAAAACGGGATTTTTCTTCAATGTAGCATCCACACAGTTTTACCATAACCATAGGTATAGCTATAAGCACAAGGTTATTCCTCCTTAAATAACGCCGCTCGTTGTGGTTGATAAGTACAACGAACATTTTTTAGCTACTGCGCATACTCAGTATAACGATAACCACAACGGAATGCCAAAATAAGAGGTGCAAAAAGTCTCTATTATCAGCTCTTTTTCCTTTATTGTGTAGTTTGTCTGGCTTTTTTTGGATAAACTCTCCCTGTTTGTTCTTATTCCCCGACTCCACGCTGCTCTAGGCACCTTCGTGCTCGTTCACACACAATGCAGGATAAATTACCAATATCTAAACCTCTTCTCTGTGAAATAAACCGAACCCGGACAACAACAACTATCTATTATTAATTATAATTTATAATCTTAAAAAATTAGCGGGAAGCGTCGAATGACAGATAACATTGACACGACTAGTGTACAAACGAAAAGTACGCAAATCTTTCACCTGAAATGCAATGTTGCCAGAGCTTTACGATACTTAGCTAAGCTTGCACCTAAAAACTATGGTGGAACGAACTTCTATGTGAGTGTCCCTTAACTTTTAAGGGCTTCATAGTTCAGCAAAGCTTAGTTATAATTTGGTGGAAATGGCCATAAAATAAACTTTTTTGGGCGTGGCACTCGAGGAAATTTTTCGCCTCTGTCAGGCTTTTCGTCTTTAATATTTTCCCTCAATAAGCACATATTACAAAAGCATACAAACATTCATTTGTTGTACCCTTCCGCCCCCCCCCCCCCGCCCCTTATATGTTTGCCCCCACCGCCCCGTAAGGCTGGCTACGCCACTGGAAAAGCAACGAGCTATCCAACGATATGCAGCACAAGGTAGGTTCGTATTGAAAAAAAAAGGGTAGCTACCCCCTAAGGTGTACGAAACGGGGTGGCTCAAAAAGTGCCTCATTTTGGTTCCCCATCCAAGCCCCTAATTCCTCCGATATGTATTTGAGATTTTGATAGTATTTTTTGTCTAAGAGATATTCCCGATTGCGGGATTGCTAGTATTGCTACTTTTCAAATTAATTGACAGCCTGGCACAAATCACCTAAATACAGATGCGTAAGTAAGTATCCTTGCCGTTGCTACGAAACCAGGGTAGCCGGCTCCCTTGCCGCTAACGGGGCCGATAATTTATAGTGCATGAGGTGACCGTGTTCCAGCCTGTTGTGTTTACATAATAACATTAAACCACGAATTCACCGCTCCTTCGCATCTGTAGTTGTATTCCTTTCACACCTAGGAGGAGCTCCGGAACAGCTCCGGGGCTTCACGCCCTTATTCCTTTCGAAAAGTGTTTGTTGCACCACGCATCTGTTCCCTGCAAATCGGGGGCTTCTAAACACCGGAGCGAGTAGCTTGAGTGTTTCAAACTCTTGAAAGGAATACAACTTGTATGTAGGGGAGCTGTGACGCGGATCCCCGCCCCGTACTATTCGACAAGCGGCCAGCCGCCTTAAGGAAGGAGCGAGGTTTCGTAGCTTTTGAATCGACGGCAAGGTCCCTTACTTACACGCATCTGTAAGTAGGTGATCTGTGAGCCTGGGTTGCGTTCGAGAACCTGGTGTGTCGTATACAATGAACTATAGCCAAAAACTGGAATGCGCGCACATTGCCAGGGATGTGCGTCTACACCTAGACTTTCATTGTCTACTTTACGTGTAGACAATGTAGACAATGTAGACAACGTGTCAACAATGTAGAATAATATAAATGACGTTTAATTCTAACCTCAACCTCACACTTTCCTTTTTTTAAATTATTTTTATTTTATTATTGGTTTTTCTGATATTTTATAATCAGTGAATGCTGATATCGAAGTGATAGTGACAGTATAGTAACTTTTGATATTTTTTTTTCGAATTTTTTAAAATAAGTTATTGTTTACGCCGCATGTAGACAGTGTAGACAAATGCTCACGTAAACAATTCGAATTGTCTACGCGTAGACAATCAATTGTTTACGTTGCAGTGGCGTATCCAGGGGGGGGCAAAGGGGGCAATTGTTTCATTTCTTAAAAATATCTCAAATAACAAAAAATAATATTACCTATCTACTCGTGTGCGCAAAGTTATTACTATATTTTGAAAAGATGCTGTACTTTTTGCTATGTGAAACTAATATAAAAAGTCACATGGAAAAATATCATCCTGGTAAGTTTAGTCTCGAACTTTGGCAGGAAAAACAAATTTTAAGTAAACCTCGCTAGCACAACCACTGTTGCAAATAAAGTCAAGCTCATCACTGAAGAAAAAAAAACACATTGGAGTTTGGACTAAGAGAGAAAATTACCAGTTTTGAGCATCTGGAAACATGAAAAAGATTAGGTATAGCTCCTCTGGATGCTATGTAAATCTTCAAACACTCTTAGAAAAAGTATCGTTCTTAACACTTGTGCAAAGTGTCTTTCCCGCACTGAAAGCTTATACGAACTCGGCTTCGCGTCGTTCGTCTAACTGCTTTTTCGTGCGGGAAAGTATCACTTTGCGTACTTGTTAGGAAAATAATTATTTTTGTCCTATATATAAGTAGAAGCGCGCGAATATGCCATCAAGATGCGTAATTTTAATGGCTTTTGTGCGTGGCACCTCAAAAAATTTCCGCTTCCAGCGAAAACTGGTTTGCCCCCCCCAGAGCCTTAGGCTGGATACGCCACTGTTACGTTGACATTGTCTACAGGCACATCACTGCACATTGCCATATCTGCCCAAAAAATTAAGCCATGAAAGACAGATGCCACAAGGGGGAATGTTGTTTTTTTCTGTTGCTCGCTGACATATGACGTTTTCGAAAGTTTTGTCATATTTTCCTTCACAGGTTTCATCAATTGGATTACGTGTTGGAAGCAATTTTCGCCATTTAACATAATGCGAGTGCGACAAAAACAGGTATCCCCTCCGCAGCAGCTGCACTAGGCTTCACGTTCTTCCTTATGTGTTAGCATTCCAGTTTTTGGTTATAATAGTTCATTGGTCGTATACAAATCACACAGATGTCGTTCGAAAAGGCG